TTTTTAAAATTTTATTTTAATTTTGTATGTGTGTGTGTGGGGGGTTTGGGCGGGTTACGGATTAAATGGTTTTCAATGCATTCCTATGGGGAATGCATTTTCGACCTCCGTACTTTTTGACCTACGGACTCCGTTCCCATACGTATTAATTCCGTAGGTCGAGACCCCACTGTAAAAGGGAGGATTTGAAGCTACCGGATAAAAGGCTCTATGTAACTTGTTATCTTGGGCTCCAAGGTTTGTTTCCCCTAACAGAGCACTCTTGGAAGCTTCACTATCCAAATTTGACTCCAAGCTTCTGGAGAAGCAAATGCACATCTGCCTTTGGAGTTGGACCCACACCAACAAAAGTAATATGTACTGCATGCATGTGTATTGTGAGCACAGTTCCTTGTTCACCAGTCAAGACCATTAGCAAACAAAGGCACAAAACGATGGACAATAGGGTTGGGGCACAGGAGCATTCACCATGACAGATGTTTTAGATTTTAGTTATCAAAGGTTCTAGTCCTCATGGTAGAGGGTTAGAGGTTAGGGTGGTTGTAATCCAAAACTTCCTGGAAGTGTTAAAAATGATATCCATTTCCTTTGCAACACAGCCATGTGCAAGAGGAAAAGGCCATGTGCAAGAGGAAAAGGGGTTGGCCATGAGTTCCAACAGAGCCCTCTGCCTTTCTCTTCTTGGTGATTCCTTGTGGGTGTATTGTGGTGTGATGTGCATTACTCAGTACAGGAGGCCCCTACATGCCTATTCTATTCATCTGAACAGGTTGGTTTAGTCAAACTTGAAGAAGACCTACAAAAAGGTATGATATGGGAGTCAGTCATGGCTGGTTGAAGTTCCCGTCCATTCTACTCCAAATCTGGAGTCAGTTCACTTTTTATATTTATTCCACTAAGAATGTAGGACACGGGGTATGGAGTGGTGGTTCCCCAATTTGGGATGTTGAGCAGTGATCAGACTGAACTTTCAGGATCCCTGACCATTATCCAGGCTGGCGGCTGAAGCCAACAAAATCTGAGGACCCAACTTGGAGGAAATGGCAGAAAGCCTGCTGCTTAGATACCTCGCCCATAGCGCTTAAAGTACTCTCTGGGCGGTTTACCATTTAATTAGGCAGGTGGCACATGGCCTCCCCCACACCCCAGTGAGCTGGGTTATCAATTTCCTGACCTTGGAAGGCTGAGTCAACTTCGAGCCGGCTACCTGATGGATCAAACTCAACTCATGAGTAGAGTCTGAGCTGCAGTACTGCACTTTAACCACCGCACCACAAGGCTCCTCTAAGGATTTTACCAAGCACTGCACTGATTTCCATCTGCAGGTGTGAACATACCTGGTAGTGTGCGATTGTGCCCTTGAGGTTCACCCGGTAACTCACATCTTTAGTTTCAGAAGGCAGGAGAACACAGAACTTTGTTTTCAAGAAAATTATTTCGCCCTTCTCACCAGAATCAACACATGAGGCCACTTACTTTGACAGCAATTTTAAAGGAGACATCTCGAATGGAGCTCAGAGGGGGATACAGCCTTCCTTCCGCAAGGTTCTTATCTGTCACTTCGGCTGCAATTGACTATGTTGGGGAAGGAGAACAGCGCTTCAGGTTAAGAAATGGTTTCTAACAACAATTTCTAGATTTGTTTTCGTTTTCACTGCGTCCACAGCAACACCATTACCTTGTCAGTTCACTGCGTCCACAGCAACACCATTACCTTGTCAGTACAGTGGTGCCCTGCATAGCAACGATAATCCATTCTGGATAAATCGTCGCTATCTGGAAACATCGCTATACGAGGCAAAAAACCCCATAGGAACGCATTAAACTCTGTTTAATGCGTTCCTATGGGGACAAAACTCACTGCTAAGCGGAAATCCTCAATCCGGCCGCCATTTTCGCCACCTCGGTAAGCGAGGAATCAGCGCAAAAACGCTGCGGGCGGCCGCTTTCTTCATCCGGCGGCCATTTTGGAACCGCCGATCAGCTGTTCTGAAAACATCGCAATGCGAAGATCGGTAAGCGAAACGCTTACCGATCATTGCAATGCGATGTTTTACCTATTAAAACATCGCAATGCAATCGCAAAAACGATCACAAAATCTGCATCGCTATGCGGATTCGTTGTTAAACGGTGCGCTTGTTCAGCGAGGCACCACTGTACAATAAATGCACACTCTTTCTAAAGGCAAGGTTTTCCTAGAAATTTGACATAATTCAGGGAAGGCTCTTATTTTAACTGGCAACAATATTGCTGGTGGCAGCCATCTGAAGGGGGTCCGGGGCTTTGCTGAGTCCTTATCTAGAAGCATTGCACCCTTAACATGTAAATACCATTTGCTTATTATAAACCAGAGCCAGAGTTTGCTTCCCCACTGTGCCAAGGAGAAGAGTCAGCCTGTGTGGCCATGGGCAAGCTGCACAGCCCCAGGGCGCCCGCAGAAAAAGGGAACAGGAAACTACTTCAGAGTATTCTCTGCCTCTGCTCCCAGACTCTGGAACTCCCTCCCACTGGAAGCCAGGCTGGCCCCATCTTTGTGGCCCTCCACAGGCAGGCAAAGACCTTTCTCTGCGGGCAGGCTTTTCCTTAATGACTGGTGGTCCAAGAAGGGTTTTAAAAGAACTGTTGTACTCCATTGTTTGAAATGTGTTTTAATATTGATCTTAGTTACCACTTTAAGATAGTACTTTTTAAATTCTTTTTAAATATTTACATACTTCCTGTTTTAGCTTTTAAATACTGTTTTAGTAATGTAAGCCACCAAAAAAAAACCTTATGCGAAAAAAACTTTATGCGAAACACCATTTCCCATAGGAATGCATTGGAAACCGGTTAATCTGTTCCAATAGGAACGGATTGGCGTCCTTAAGCGAAAAAACCCATAGGAAACATTGTTAAACAATACAATGTTTCCTCCATTGGAATGTATTGAAGCCGACTCAATACATTTCAATGGCTTTGCGAAGTCAATTTTTGCAAATTTAAGTGTGTCATAAAAGGGTCAAAAATGGTTTTAAATGCTTGGATTAGCTTCTGCACCCTCTAAAACGGATGCAAAAGTTAATTTGGCTTTGATCTGACTTTTCGTTAATTTATGGTGAATTTTTTT